CTTTATTTTATATCTCTCTGTAAATTTAAATATGTTTTTACTTGCACTGATTGTTGATTGTTAAATATTTGCACCTCCCGTCATGTCAAATTCCTTGTATGTTCAACATACCATGGCAATAAACGGTTCTGATTCTTTATGTCTCCATGCTCCACCGGTTACCCCGTGTTTAACGTCACATTGCAATGATTTGTGGGTAATTCCCTTAGGTTAAGTCAGCATACCATGCTGACTTACGGAAAGGGCTCAAAATGTCTGCAAGAGAGCCTCAAACACTTGACGATTTAACAGTGGGACAGCCCCAAACCCTCACGGACTTCGCGGGAGCGGGCCTCAAAGTCCGTGGTCCGTGGGTACATCCTAAGTCTCTTAATTGCATCCCCGTTTCGCTCACTTGTGTCCTTTCCTTGCGCCTTAGTCCCTCCCCCCAGGGATGCATGGAGAGACGCAATGAAACCATGCGAGGACAGAGGAAATGACAAATCAGAGACTTTGGATGTATCCCGTAAGGGGGGACATTGGGATTTGGCCTGAGAGTAGAACATGCGCCATTACGCACGAGTGACCTGCAGCACGCAGCTGCATCTTGATTTAGCGTCGCGTGTGTAACTTTTACGGTTATTTTTTCACTAATTAGTTGAAATTTATTTTGAGAAAGATGTTGAAACGAGGATCGAAGACGCATGTCCCTACGGAGGAAGTCCAGGAGATGCTGGAGGACCCTGGAAATGTTTGTCCTCATGATTCGTCCTCACACGAAGAAGACCTCGTGCATTCCGACAACACACCGGACAGCAGTGACTCGGATTACTATCATCCATCATCATCATCATCGGAAAGGTATGATCGTCTTATAAATGTTATGTATCGATTTATTGGTGTCGAATTTTCTATCTATCTAGCTTTCTCAGGGCAAGGGTTTTATGGTCAGATTGTATAGTGTGTGTGTGTGTGTGTGTGTGTGTGTGTGTGTGTGTGCATGCTCCCGTGCTCCCCAGCACAGTGTGTGTATTTATACCACTTTATTGCTTTTACATGTATTACACTTTCAGAACCAGACCACTGAATGAATACATTTGTTTTTCTTCCACATTCTGGTTTACAGTGATGAGGATTACGAGCCACCCCTTGCCCGTGTCCCAGGACCTTCAAGGCCCCCACAGCCAGCAGCATCCCCTCCCCCCACGGCTCTACACACCCAGTCGTTAACACCTCCCCCGACCACTCGGCAGAAGAGAGGACGCTCCTCTGTGGGAGCTTCTGCTCCAGCTACCAAGCGTGGAAAGAGTAGGTTGGCATCTCCAGAGAGTGAGGAGGGGGACAGGTGGCATGACAGAGAGGAGGAGTGCATCAAACCTGACCCTCTCAGGTTCAAGCCGGCCAGGACCCCAGGCCCCACATTCAACACCACCAGAGCATGGTCTCCCATCAGCCTCTTCCAGCTTTTCTTTTCAGCGTCTGTTGTCCGAAAAATCATTGACAACACGAATGCCAACGCTGCCAAAAGAAAGCAAGCTGGGTTGAAGTGGGAAGTGCTCACGGTGAAGGATTTTTACATATTCCTCTCCATCATCATCTTCACTGGCCTTGTGACGGTCCACAACAGGTCTGACTACTGGAGGAAGAAATGTCCGTACAACTTCCAGTTCCCCGGTGACAGCATGACACGGAACCGCTTTGAGTCCATTTTGTGGTCACTTCACCTCAGCGACCCAGAGGAGGACGAGGAGAACGACAAAAAAAGGAACACCGCTGAGTACGACCGGCTGTTCAAGATCAAGCCGCTCTACACGGACATGGTGACCGCCTGCAAAGCCCATTTCCAGCCGCACCAGAATGTGTCCATTGACGAGCGGATGGTCAAAAGCAAAGCCCGTATCAGCATGAAGCAGTACATGAAGGACAAGCCCACGAAGTGGGGTTACAAACTGTTTGTGCTGGCTGATTCATCGATAGGCTATACCTGGAACTTCTTTGTCTACGCAGGTAAAAGTGAGTCCACCACAGGCCGCGGTCTGAGTTACTCAGCAGTGATGGACCTTTTACCTTTCCCTCTCCTCGGTAGCGGCTACTTGTTGTACACAGACAATTTCTACACGAGCCCCGCTCTCTTCACTGATCTGTCCAAAAAGAACATCGGCTGTTGTGGGACCATCAGGAAACATGTAACTGGCTTCCCTCAGACCCAGACTAACAACCTGCCCAGAAAGGCTGAGAGGGGGGACATGCGTTGGATCCGGAGTGGCAACCTCCTCTTCGTCAAGTGGATGGACATGAGAGAGGTAGCGATGTGCTCCACAGTGCATCAGGCCTACAGTGGACAGACGGTGAGGAGAAAGGTGAAGGAGGCTGGGGTGTGGCAAAAAAAGTCCATACCAGTTCCGGACAGCATCGTGGACTACAATCACAGCATGGGGGGTGTGGATTTGTCCGATGCACTGATCGGATTTTACAGCGTCCGCCACAAGACGATGAAGTGGTACAAGACTTTCTTTTACCACTTTGTGGACATCGCTGCTGTGAACAGTTATCTTTTGCACAAGGAGCTGTTCAAGTTGAGGCAGGACCCCACCCAGACAAAGCCCTTCACCCACAAGACCTTCAGGGAGCAGTTGGCCAAGGAGATGCTGGAGTTTGCTGAAGGCTCAGCAGCCACCGCTCCCCGCCCCCGCCCCTCCACCATCTGCATGCCCATGCTTTTCGACAACGAGGTCAGAAAGTATTGCAAGAGGTGCCACGAGGCTGGAATGCCACGGGTGAAGACCTCCTTTCATTGCAGTAAGTGTATGTTTCCTCTCTGCCTCACCTCCAAAAAGAACTGCTTCCAGCTGTGGCACACTGGACAATAACTTCCTGATGGACGGACCCCACCCAGACAAACCCCTTCACCCACAAGACCTCCAGTAGATTCTAGAGTGCATGTACGGCTCAGTTTCTCCTTCATCCATCCATCATTTTCAAGCAGCCTTTGCACAAGGAGATTCTAGATTGCGGTAAGAATTCACGCACCATCAATGCACATTACTAACTTTGCTCCTTTTCTGAAGTCTCTGTGCTTTCTCTCCTCACAGGTTTCCATGGATCGTGGTTCTATCTGGACTCTGGTTGTGCCCGACACCTACTGCTGTTATTATTATTCGTTGCATTGCTATTAGTATTGCCAATACCATTGCTGCTTTTATTATCATAATGATTCTACTATACCCACTGTTGCTGTTATTTTTGGTAGTTGTACTCTCATTATGAATCATTTGTCATATGCATTGAATGTGTTGTAACTCTGTTATGATGTTCATTCTGTACACATGACATATTTCAGTTCTGTCCATCCTGGGAGAGGGATCCTCCTCTGTTGCTCTCCCTCAGGTTTCTTCCCTTTTTTCCCCTCAAAGGGGTTTTTTTTTGGGGGAGTTTTCCCTGAACCGATGTGAGGTCCTGGGACCTCATACGTGTACAGATTGTAACGGCATAATGGAGGATTGTGTAAATAGTTTATTGGTTTTACGTGTTTTTACAGTTTGCTAAGGTCTGGTTGAATTTTCCAAAACAAAAAAGGCCAAAAACTGATGTGTTGAACACCGTTAGTAATATACAAGTGAAATATGTAGTTTGGTACATGAGGTTTTAGTACAGGTTTCCAAAATGTGCATTTGAGCACATTTTGGCACCATGTGTGCTACTTGAAACCTCGCCTGGACTCTCTGTACTTAAACCTCTCTAACTTTGTTCTGCTTCACTTTATCAGAGTGAACCTTTGCAGAGAGACTGTTCACATGTTGTGCTATGATTTGGGAGAGGTTTAGACCTGCAGCTGCATCATTCCAAAGATAATCAGCTTTTTTTTTTCTTTTTTTTTTTTTAGGTGAACCTGAAACTTTTTCATTTGTGCTGTGTGCCATCTTCATTTACTCTTAACCAGTAACATATACACTGATATTTACACGTCTGAACTAATCTCACAAGTGTTCCCTTTATTATAACACCAACATTATTCAAATACACCTTGTGGTTGCAAAGATACTTTCAGTATGGGTATTAGAATAGGCTTAGAGCTCGAGAGGTTAAAGTGTCGCTGGTGTAACCTGTTGGAACCCGACGTGACAATGAGGTCTTAAAATGTATAGAAATGCTTTTTAAAGAGACCTTAAAACATCACATTTAACTTAAGGATTCCTGTGTGATGCCTCATCAGAAGCAACTGTTCCTTAAAAACAAAGAAGCGGGAAGAATAAAGTTTATAGGTGTTTATTTTCCCCCTTTAATGATCTGATAACACCAGCTGGTTTCTGGGATGTCTTCAACGAGGCGCTGCATCCTGAATATGAAACGAGGAAATATAAAAGCGTTTTCTTTTTGTAAAATGATGAAGTGAGACAACTACCTGCAAACTGAGTTTGAGAATTACAAACAATGATCTGGAATATTTGTTTTGATGTCAAGTTATTAAAGTGTGTCAGAACAATGTAATGAATGAACTTGCAGTTTTATACACCAGCAGGTGGCAGCATTGATCAGATCATTGATTAATAACGAGGCATTTCATTCTATTGGTTGGTCCATATTTTCATGCAGATGCAGTTAGAGGGGCTTCTGCTTCAGATAGAACTCCTCAAATGGTTCAAAACGTCACGTCAGTGGATCAGGTGTAGAACACGTATCAGGACTATACAGCCCGGCTTCCTTCATGTCGTCTTTCCTGCAGAGACGAGGCGTCCGGCTTTGGGCTCTGGTCTCTCCAGACTCTGGTTGCCGTCCGTCTCCTTCTCCTGCAGCGGCACACAGGTGCACCCCACAGCGATGGAGATGTAGAGCTCCGTGTAGGAGTGGCGGCCTCCGGCGCAGGAGCCCGCTCTCCGGAGGATGACGGAGGGAGCGTAGACCGGCGTGCTGCGGTAGAGGTCGCTCTCCTCTCCGTACGGGCCGACCAGGCAGCCTTTGCACAGGCAGTACGCCTCCGGGATGTAGCGGGGGTACCGGGCCGGGTTGTATGAGATCCTAAAAAAAATTAAGGTCATAAGCTGATTTCTTCCTCCAGCTCTCTGTGGAGTTACTTTTGTGTCTTTGTTCAATCAAACAGTAAAATAAATATCTGATATTTAAGTTTTATTTGAAAATTTGAAAAACTTGAAATCCAAAAGTTCTGTTTAGAAATCCCAAACTATTGTTTACAAATCCGAAAGATGTTTGGAAATGTAAAAGTTGAATACAAATGTTTTTCAATGCAAATGAAATATTGCACATTTCTAGCAAAATATTATATTATATATTATTCCTTTTACGCTGCACCTGCTCTCACCTGTAGGCCCAGGGGGAGATGCTGAGCAGGTTGACCGGGAGGCGGGTCTTGCTGCCGGCCGGGGAGCGTGCGGTGGTCGGGCAAGTCAGGTTGAGTTTGTCTTGCGGCTCCAGCTGCAGCGCGTGATGGAAAGCGCTCATCACTCCCACCGAGAGCCGCCCGAACATCTGCTCCAGGATCTCCTCCGGCAGGTCCAGGCAAGCCCGGGTCCTGTTGGCCTTCTTTCGTACCCGGGGAGCCCCGGACGACCAGCCGGCCAGCAGCAACAGCAGCAGCAGCAGGACGCGGGTCTGATGCGGCATCACGGAGCGCTTCTCGGTACGGCGTTGCGCCAAAATGCGTGTATCCACGGAAAAAACGTTTCTGTGCGCGCGCACTCCCTTTCACTGCCTTTTTTGAAAGCCGACCTGCAGATTATCAGAACACAAGTGGCCTCCTCCGTTAACGACACAGCCTTTACCGTTAACAGGTTATAATCCAGTGAAATGTTGGAGAGTCCGCGGCAGGCAAACAGTCCTGAGTCCTGTCTGGGACACCCGGGCACAGGCGCGCCGCCAGGGAAACATTTTGGCAAACCGCGTCCACAGTGTTGCCCAGCCAGGACTAATAATTGCCTCAGAATTAGAAATAATTACCGAGTTAGAAGTTGCACACCTGCTGCTCTCAGCTTCAGAAGAGAACGGAGAGTTTTCCTGCTTTTCTCCCCCCAACGTGTGCGTAAAACCCGATGGAAGCGTTTGGAACAGTGAGATTCAGAACGAGTCTAAACCAAACTGAAGCACCGACAGATAAACTCCTGACTTACAAACATCCAGCCCCGGTAATAAAAGAGGCAACGCAGCTCCTGACGGGAGTGGGAAGTCCAGACTGTTGGCTGAGTGCGCTCCGCTGCTGGATCTTGGCTTCACACCAGAGTCTTCTTCACTTACAGATAAACTGGATCCAGCTCTGGTCAACTAGTGTCACAAAGATCTAGCACTTCGAGGTCAAACCACAAATCATTCTGAAATGCTAAAAGAACGTGAATGTGTCTTTTAGTCTTTCCATTCCTCCCGTCACCTTAAATGAAAGTAAAAAGACATTTACAGCTCAAGTTAATACAATTTATTCTCCACTTAATCTTCGGTTTAATCTGCTGCCTCATTAAAATAATCGACATTAATAACTCAGATTGTTCGTGAGCTTTCTCTACTAGAAAAAACAAACAGACTCTTTCTTGAATATGTAAAATATTTTCTCTTTTAATTATACAAACAAACGACAAAGAAAGACAATAATAAATAGTGAACCACAAATAAGTACAAAATGTAAAAAAGGAACTGGGTGGAAAGAACGGATTACATAAGTCAGTTGTATCTGTTGATGGATTTTCCAGAAGGCTCACACACACACACACACACACACACACACACACACACACACTCACACACACACATGGAAACATACATCACAGTCAAAAATATTACGACAGCGATATGTTTTCATTGTTTTTGGCTCCGTGACTAAAAAGCTGCGGTTAAATGCCGCCTTGTGTTTCGGGGCGTTCACACTGTTGTGTGAGAGGAACTTGTTTCCCTCCTCGAGAGGAACAGTTTGTCCAGAAAGATCTACGATCTCTACACACTTCATCAGATATGAATGTAAACACATCCAAAGAAAAGGTTAAAACCTGCTTTGTGATTGTTTTCAGTCATTCAAAGTGAAAGAGTGGAAAATAAATCCAGAATGCTAAAATTCACTCCATGTGACCTCTGGACTCAGAAGTGGAGCATCAGAGTCAGTGGAGCCTCATTGAGGTCTTCATCCTGTAACATGTATGTCGTGTGTTTTTAGCTGAAGAGTATAAAACGCTTTGTTTTTGTGCTTTTTGTGACAAAGGAGCAAACGTCCCGACAGTGACGGCAGCTACTCCGGCAGCAGGTCGTCTCCCAGCTCTTCGTCTGCAAAGCCGTCGTCCTCCACGCGCCACTTGGCCCCCGTCTTCGGTCTCTCCATCTGAGGCCCCAGAGGGTCCACGTAGGACGCATCTGCACACGAGAGGATTTTACTTTTATCAGAAGTCATGAGCCCCGTTATCGATCTTAGAAGTTTAAGAGCATATCTGTCTTCAAATGTCTTCACAAAGCAGCGAGAGCTTCTTAACGCAGGGGCACACATATCAGGGGCAGCATTTCATCTCCACTACTGGCTCCATACAGTCTATATTTAAATCATCAGCGAAGAAAAACAAAAAGCCAAACACCAACTAACAACAAGAATACGCAAGATTCATCAAAACTGCTGAAGTGGCTCGTCTCTCTCTCTCTTTATTTAGTATGTAAATATGTGAATATGTGAATATGTGAATATGTGAGACGGGTGGTTCAAGTGAAACTGAAGAACACAAACGGCTCACAGATAAAAGGGAGAATAGGTGAGACGCAGCTTGTATCGTGTAATCTGTCACAGAAGGGAAGAGAGAGAGAAACCGTGCTTCCTCACCTATTTCTTTTGGGCTGCTGGCCTCGTAGGGCTCATTGGAACCAGGAAGTGACCTCATCTTGGCGCTCAGCCGCTCTCCTTTGCTGCTGCTGCGGCCGCTGTCTGCAAAAACACACACAAACACACACTCAGAACCACTGCTTTAAAAAGCACATTATTGAGTATATTTAGCTGATTCTGACAGTAAAGAAAGGTGTTTAAATGTTCCTCCAGCTGGCAGATAAAAGCGTGAGAAACTCTCGTGACTTTTGGATCTTTAACACATTTTTAAACTAATAGAACTCGAAGATTCACGGAGGTCAAACTGAGAGAGACGTTTTTATCTCACACTGTGAAAAGTCAACATGGTGGAGATGTGAGACAGAGACAGGACGTTATGAAACGTCTGAGTGTGTGTGTGTGTTTTGTCTTGACGAACCCACACAGCGCCACACACACATTTTCACAAAAATTTCAAACAGGATGTGTTTGTCTAACATATTTAAATATATAAAATATAAATAATGCAGTATTTCTCCAGACAGGACGTTAAGTGGTGATAATGATACAAAGTAAACAAAATCAAGACTAAACATAAAAAATATGTTTTTACTTCATACAAATGCAGCACAAAGTGCTTTAAAATAAAGGAAAATAGACATAAAGATGGAAAATAAAACCCACTCGATAAAATCATATTAAATAGAATGCAAATTATTAGATGGGACGTAAAACCCACTGAATAATAATAATATTAAAACCAGTATTTGCAGCAGCATCTGGGTCTTTCTGGTCTTCTTTTGGTTCCTTTCTGAATCATTGTTGGAGATTTTAATATTTAAGAGGAAAAGTATGAAAAGTATTTAACCTTGCTGTCACTGGTCTACCAGCCAAACAGAACCTAGAACCTAGAACCTAGAACCTCGTCTGTGTCGAGGACACAAAGTTTCCCCCTCAGGGTACTTAAAGTTGATCTTTTCCTTTTTTATACATTTTGTAAAGATGAATGAAATAAATAAATAAAGGTGAACATTTAGTATCTACAGTATTTTGACTCCTCCTCTGGCTCGTTAACTAACTAACTATCTGATGTGTGTGTGTGTGTGTGTGTGTGTGTGTGTATGTGGGGGTGGGGGGGGTGTAGCTCGTACTTTATTGGTAATTATAACCAAAAGTACGCTACAGATCAGCCTCACACCAAACTATTTAAATGTCCAATTATACTCCAAACACAAATATGTGGTTTGAGTTTCAGAATTTCAGTTCCATTTTCCAAATGAGCCGTTGAGCAAGACTATCTGGTGTCTGTGCTGCAGGTTTGGATGTCGGGCTGACGCAGCGCTGCAGTGAGCTGAAGGACAGATGTGATTACACTCAACAGCGGCAAACATCTGGCTGCCAGGTAGCCGAGGAAACCGAGGAGAGCGAGGAGAGCGAGGAGAGAGAGGAGAGCGAGGAGAGAGAGGAGAGCGACGGCAGAGAGCTGGAAAACAGGATCCAGAATCATCTCTCACGAGGCCGGAACACGTTAGACACTTTCCTTTTCCTGGACTCAGCGGTGATTTGGTTTCTCTCTTTCTCTCTCTTATAATACACAAGAGTCAAGACACGACGGGCTGGAAGCCAGACATGGAAATGATCGTGTGCAACAGTTTCCACCATTAAAGGTGAAATGGTTCGGGTCATAATATTTCAGAAGTTTTCTTTTTTCTTTTCAGAGACGAGGATCGATATCGATGACTCAACTTTCTGGCTTTTGAAACTCACTTTCATGCTCAAACGTATTCGGAAAAAGCATTTTGAAAACTGCTATTGCACAGAGAGAATAAGAACACCAGAAGTTAGGGGAGAAAAACTGAAGAAAGTCAAAAACAAACTGGACTCACACTTCACTTCACACAGAAGAGAGGGAAAACTCTCAGGTGCACTTGAGGTTTTACTCAAATATCTGAAAGATTGAGCGATCCCGCCCTCCTCCTCCCCTCCTCCCCTCCCCCCCTTCCTCCTCCCCTTCTTCCCCTTCGTCCTCCTCCTCCTCCCCTCCCCCGCTTCCTCCTCCTCCTCCTCCTCAGAGTAAACACTGATCGCAGCCCAACATCACAGCTGCCTGTCAGGAGATTTCTGGAGCAGGTTCAGGTGTTTTAAAGTTTCTGAACTAAACTTTTCCACTTCTGATGTGTCGGTCAGACACAGTGGCATTAACTCCTTACAAGGTATGATCGTGCGCATGCAGTACCTTTATAAAATAAAAACGTTACTAAACTGATGTAAAGCCAGTGAAAGGGTGTTTCTCTTCTTCTTAAATGAAGGAATGAACGTGCTTCGTGGGTAAAGGAAGTACTCAAGTAAAAATACAAATACTACGTTTAGAAATACTCTGCTACGAGAAAATAATCTTGTAGTCAAAGAAAAGTACAAAGATATTGACATCAAAACATAATGGCCCTTTTCAGAATCTTATTATTGGTTTATAATTATTGTTGCATTAAAGTTAGGGTTGGTTATCATCTTCAAAAACATTTTGTTATATTTCTTAAATTCTTATTTCATCCCGACAGCGATCAATAAATCAAATGCTCTTTTAAGGAATAAGCCGCTCCGATCATTTTATTAGATCTGAATCAATTAATTTGTATTAATCATATAAATCTGCAAAGTAACTTAAGTATTAAAACAAATGTAGTGCAGTAAAAAGTATAATATTTTCCTCTGAGATGCAGTAGAGTAGAAGTATAAAGTAGGAAATACTGAAGTAAAGATCAAGTACCTCTAAACTGTACCTAAGTAAAGTATCGAGTATTTGTACGTTTTCTATCATGTTGTGTTCTCATGAATCATCACGTTAAACATTTCTAATGGAGAATTAAAATACAGAATTAATGAAAATGAGTCGAACAATCTAACGGTTAAAATGAACCTTCTGTCTGAAAATAAATAAATAAATAAATGAACATGAGATCCAATGCAGAGAGTTTAGTTCATCACTGATGCAGATTGATTAAATAAGAAAACAACACAATGCTAATTTAAACTAAATATTCATATCACCAACTCTCACTTTGTTAAATTCTAGATTTATCACAAACGTTTAAAACTCCGGACGGCAACAAATGAGACATTGTTGGAATGAAACAAGTAAACTCTAGTGTGTGTGTGTGTGTGTGTGTGTGTGTGTGTGTGTGTGTGTGTGTGTGTGTGTGTGTGTGTGTGTGTGTGTGCAGATCTCAGAGTCCAGAAGTACAATCTTTACGTACCTCTCCCCGAGTCCAACAGTGGACTCAGTAGTTTAGACTCTGGAGAGCAAACAGGAAGCACGAGAGAGAAAACAGATGAAGCCGGAAGAGACGGAGGAGCAGAAAGAAAGAAAGAAAGAAAGAAAGAAAGATTACAGCGCTGGAATAAAGATCACTGCACACGAACAGCAACAAGAGGCGATGACAGAGCGCTGAGAGCAGCTTTCATTCTCTCACCTGCTTTCACATCCATCTCTGATGAGCCGTAACAAAGTGAGAAGAGGGTTTGAACTCAAAACGTGTCAGAAGCAATAGGAAAGGATACAAACACGCTCCACCCAGCTACAGATCTGGCAGCACGAAACTAAATGGAAAACAAGGTTGACGTGTCACTGATGTAATGTATCTGGACGTGGAGGAATAATGGAAGTCTTGGCAGGGTGAGGCTGAGCTCACATCAGCAGGTGCATGATGCAGATATTTAACTACAGTAAAGGACTCAGCTGCACAACAGAGAGAGCTAAAAGCTGAACCTCGTTTACAGCTTTTGGCAGCTCTGGAAGTTCGTCTGGATTGCGTTTAGAAATCTGCCGATGAGCCAACTTTGAAGCAGCCAGTCTGAGAGAATGTGTGTTTGTTGTGTATCTGTAGTGAAGGAGTGATAAGACTTCCCTCCTGCTGGAGCTACTGAATACTCTTATCCTACAGCAGGATGAGGCTCCATGGTCAACGTTTACATCCACAATCCCACAACAGCTGCTCTCGTGCACTTTAACCCGAACACTACAGAGGAGTGGTGTGTGGACGTATACCCGGAATAACGCCGGCCTTCTTCGGAGAGCTGAGCACCGGAGTGGAGACGCCTGCTGTCCAGCAGCATGTGTGGACGACAGACAGGAGAGAGAGGTGATGACGGACAGGAAGTGTTGATTATAGGCTTCGATTCTGACTTAAACCACCAACATATAAATAAAGTATCACACACTTAAAGCCCTGATGCTACTGTTTTTTAATACTTCAGTATTCAAAATCAACCAAATCTAACTTCTCAAATGATAAATGTTGTTTTTAAAATCTACAAGTCCTTTTCTACGGAGGCCCTGAGGGGACATGGCAGAAAAAAAACAATAGATAAAGAGAAATGCTTTTGGGTTCTCCTGAGAACTTTTGAGTTCTCATGCAAAACTTTTGGGTTCTTCCAAAAACCTTTTGCGTTCTTTCGCAAAACGTATATGTTTTGCATTTAGAGTCCTGATGACCGCTACAGTAGCTTAGAAAATAACAATATCGGGCGTTGAATTTGATGATTTTCCTGCTCATCAGACCATGAACTAGAACTAGCTAGTCAGCGCATCTCGCGGTCCCTCGGTCCTAGGAGAGTGAAATAGTTCACCCATCTATGATATGTTCTCCCCATGTCTCCTGAGATGTGCCTTACTTTTCAATATAAAACATCAGAACCTGAACAAGCACAATTCTAGCTTTAAGCTCTTGATTTTAAAAACGTTGTGACACATTTACAACGGTCCCAAACAGAGCTGATGTTTAAAGTCCACACTTCTCCCCAGATGTTTGAAGACCTTTTAGATGAATTACTTCTGCACCGGACCCTCCGGACCCTCCGGACCCTCCGGACCGACACACAGCCGGATCTTTGTATGTTGGTGGTATTATGGTGACGACAGACTCACCAGCACTGCCGGCGCTGCCTTCTCTTCCTTCTCGCCGACTTCTGGCACTGCCCTCCCGCCCCGACTTCACCCTCTGCAGGAAGAGAGGAGGAAGAAGAAGGGAGGGATTAGGAATGAAAAGGTTTTAATTTAAATAAAATCTCTTTACGCTATAAAGTTTTTAATCAGATCAGGATTCTGTGGTGAATAAAAACACATTTTATGCTAGACTGTTGGATTCTGGAGACATCTTTTAGTCTCTCCATGTGTGTCTCATTAATTAAGTCAGTCCAAAACTATTTTAGAAACAAAAGCTGAGCAGAAACATTTAAATAAAAATTCAAGTGGAATTTGACCTTAATAATTGAGAAAACAGGTATACTGTAAATGTCGCGTGTACACCTCAGCAATGAGCAGTTAGCAACAAAGACGGAGACACAATGTTTAAATAATAAAACAAAGAAATGTACGGAAGCCTTGAGAGGCAAGTGAGAAAAAAAACATTTTATTCCTTTCATATTTATTTCATCTGTGACAACAAGTCAAACCAAAAGTTTTGGGAAGTGAAAGCGTTTTTTGTTGTTGTTGTTGTTGTTGTAGTACTCATTTCGGCCACAAGAGGCTGAAGTGCACCGCTACAAAGTTCTTGAGGACTAAAAGCATTCCTGTTATTTTCCAGGTGAGGTTTAATGTCTCCATGGACTCTAAACACAAAGTACAGATATAATGTGTGAGCAAGTTATGTAACATTAGTCTTTCTTTTGGATATAAATGTATTTTAATCTTCCCGTCCAGGAAATTCAGCCTCTTGTGGATAAAAATTGTATTAAAACAACAAACACTTTCCTTTCAACCGTTCAAAAGTAATCCTGACTACAATTTAAAAAAATTAAATAACCTGCTAGATTTATTTTTAACCCGTTTTCACAGATGAAAAGGAAGAAAAAGTAATTTAAAAAATGATTCTTGGATAAAAATAAAAACAAATAATTTAATGAATTTAAAAAGATTATCCTGGTAAAACATTTTTCCAACTGTTCTTAAGTTAAAAATAGACAAAATAACAGAAAATATTTTTTCCTCACTTGCCTCTCTTGACTTCCATAGGTTAGGTAGATAGAATTTCCATGGTAAAATAAGACATTTAACATAATGCGAATCATTCTCTCATTCATCATTTCATACACTGTGCTGCTCTGTGAGCAGGATCAGTTCAGTCTGGAACATTTTGGGATTGATGAGTCAGCGCTCTGGCTCTGTCTGCCTCTCTGCCGCTCTCTGCAGGATTCTTTCTCCGGGCTGATTTAAGAGCAGCTGTTTGTGATTTGACAAATTCGTGCTCCTCAGCCGTTCCCGGCTCTGACGGCACACGGCTCTGTTTCTCTGAATCACGCCTTCTTCAACAACCTGACTGACCCCGGACCCACCGGCCCGTCATCTATTCTGGGTGTGGACCTTAAAGGATAGTTTGGATGTTTAGTAGTGTGGTTGTATGAGGTTCTTCTCCACAGTCAGTGTTTTACTATAGTAGATAGAGCAAAGTGATGTAACAAGTGTCCAAACCAATCAGATACAAGCAAACTGTGCTCGCCAATCGAGGGACATGCAGACGTCTCGAGCTATTCTGGGTTTTGATCGATAATGAAAACACAGGCTTCAGTTCCACCATCAGAGAATACAGTAATAATCCTCCTGGCTTTCTATAACAGAGCCACGTATCTAACCCATTCAGGTGTCAGCCATGTGTTAAACAGCCGTGCATCACATATGAAGTGTCCGCTCTCCTCTAAACATGCTTAGACTCGTGGAAAATCAACAAGAGGAGAAATACAGATGTTTTTCATGCACTCCTGGAGCTGCAGTGACCACTGACCCGTTTTAAGGACCCCACATGTTTTCAATCAGCGTGCTCTTGTCCAGGAAAAGACGACAGGACGCCAAGACATCGGTGAGCAAAAGGTCATTAAGGAAAGCTCACTACAGGTCTGTAATATACCAACGCCAAGTCATTCACGAGGCTGCGTGATGTTAACATTATTCAGATGAATTCCTAATTAAGTTCCTCTTATGAAACTAGGTCGCTCGTATAAGGCTTTTGATCCTTAAAGGCACAGTTCACATTTTAGTTCGGACTCACCAAACACACCAGACTGCATCAACAGAAACAGTGGTTCTACCTCTCAGAACACAGATGCTGCTGGTGTACCGCTGCCTCCATCAGTTAGTGTGTTTGTGTTGTTGAGTGACTTTGGGGTTTGAATTCACCAGTCACTCAATCAACTCAAACTGAGCGATGTACCTGTTCTCTGATCTCCTTCATCTTCTCCGCTTTCTTCAGCTTGGTGGCGTATTCTTGAACTTCCTTCAACCCCATGTCTGTGCACAGCCTCACCAGGAAACGCAGGCCTGGACAAACACAAACACATTTGTATTTCCTTCACACTCTGATCAGTCAATCCATCGTCGTCTGTTTAAAGTCGTGTGAGGAACGGGATGACTTACATTCCACATTGTCTGGAAACTTGCGGTGAATGTCTTTATACGTTTCCAGAGCTTTCTGGTAGTTTCCTGTGAGGAAAAGAAAAGAAAACAGATTTATGTTTATAACTTTAATTGAGCTCGTTGCTCGTTCAATAGTTCTGAAACTGCCGTTTCTCCACACTTACCTCCTCAAAGTCAGTGAAGACACAACTAAACTTTACTAGATCAGAACAAACCTTCATCAAATAAACGAGTTCATGAATCTACTGTTCAGTCTCAAATTGACTGAGAATAGAAGTTTAAATGTTATTTGAAATATGTCAAGAATCATCCTCACCACTCTTTCTGTAGCAGCTTGCCACCATGAGCTGCCACTTCACCTGCGTGGGTCTGAGAAACACATCGAGTCAGTACGAACACACTGCACTGCGATGACTTCTCCTCATGAGGAAGAGATCGGTAGTTCAAAAAAAAAAAAGATCAATTCTGAATTCAGCCGGAAGGCTTCAACGTCTTTGTTCAAGAACAGAAAGAACGACTTCCAGATGAGAACAAGCTTCGTGTTTGATGAAAGAAGACGTAAATCAAAACAAGATGTAGTGAGACACGAATCACTTCATCGTGTCCGAAAAGTGTAGAAATAACATCGTTAACAGTTCTTACCTCCAGACGGTTAGATCACTGAACCGCAAACACTCTAAATAACTCGTTCATTATTATTGTCTTAATCGTATTGATCCTTATTATACCTATAGATGCATTTCATCGCATTTGACTGCACAACTTTTTAGTGTCGTTTTTTTAAGATGTATTAGTTTATTATTACGTTTATTTATACAGCACAGACGTTTTTAAACAAGGCAATTCAAAGCTGTTGACATAAAACATCGAGAACATCGAGACAAAGCAAAAAAAGAAACCAGAAAATGAACTTCAAATGCAATTAAAAACAGTAATTAAAGAGTTAAGAGAATAGAAAATGAAACCAAGCTACACAGGAATGAATGTTACAGCGTATTTATAGAAATGATTTGGTTAAATGAAATCAGGATTTAAAAGAAGTGAGCGTTGCAGCGTAGTTCCAGATATATGGAGCATAAAAACTGAACGCTGCGTCTTTACGTTTCATTTTTCACCGAGGACAGAAAGCAGACCTGAACCAGAAGACCTCAGAGGTCTGGGTATGTATTCTGGTCCTAAATATGTGTTTATATAAAACTACAACTTGAACTTGAGATATTTCTGAAGATGAACTTAACTTAAAAATACTCTCAAATTTGTTGGCCTTACTTTGGGTCTGAACTGCCAGTTGCTGCAATTATCATAAACTTTACACAAGTTTGTTATTCCCTTCTAAATGACTATAGCTGGTGGTGACTTACTGTATTAGCGTGGCTCTTTCAAAGTACGGAATGGCCTTCTCGCAGAACTTGGTCTCGATGTAGTAAGCCCCGAGCCACTCGATCACATCGATGTTGGAGGGGAAGTACCTGAAGGACTGGACGGCGACACAAGAGACACGTCGTTCCTGGTAAACTACTGGGATAAAGCTTTCAGTGATTTCTACTCTTCACACATGCACCACATTCAGGAACATTTCCGTCTGCAGTCTTTTCACACACGCCATGGCAATGCTGGAATAGATTGAGCAAGGGACAGTCCAGCAGGTGGCGCTGATGCAACACTTATGGAAGTCAACCGCCATGAAACTCAACAGAAGAAGAAGAAGAAGAAGAATAAGGAGAAAGGCGGGATGTACTTGTACGCAAAATATTGTGGTACCTCGTAGTAGCAGTGGAAAGCCTGGGACTTGTCCCCCTCGGCCCCGTAGAGCTCTCCCAGTTTGGCCAGTGCCTGGGGGTCTGTGTGGGTAACACTCAAGACCTGGTTCAACCACTCGATGGCCTGTTGGGGATCCTCCAGAAGCTCATACATGATGCCAGTGAGTCAAGGAGCAACAGACGCTCACATGGGAATGGACAGGTTTGAATCCCTTAATGGAAGAACGTCCCAGAAACATCTACAGATGTGCAACTGTACACACAAACACAGTCACATGTTCTTATTAGTAGGATACAGGTGGGCCAGCTGGTACATGACTTGGGCACTGTTCCTCAGAATGGCATGGAGCTTCAGGAAGCACTCCAGAGCTTCCTCCAGACGCTTCAGTCCTTTGTAGGTGAGACCTGGGACGAGTGGATATAGAGGCCAAAAACTGTCAATCAAGTAGATGAACTCTGGTCTGACACGATAAGAAGTTTCTTTCTTCTTGATTGTTTTTGTCAAAGAAGTCTCTTTGAAGAGAGCAATAACAGCAAGAGAAGGTGGTGAAAACATTGTGAATATAGAGTACACTCCCGTGCTGGTACTCCTCATACAACCCCATTTAAAAGAATCCAAACTATCCCTTTACGGGTACTATACTATAAATTGACCTCTGCGTTATCCACCACTGCACTACTTCCCGTTACCCAGGTTGTAGAGGGCCTCGGTGCAGGAGGAATCATTCCTCAGTGCCTCTTTGTAGAACTCTGCAGCCTTCTCATAGTCCTGCTTGACGAACACCGTGTTGCCTTTGTTGATAAGTGCTGCCGGGTTGTAGCGATCGGCGGTCATGGCGAGGTCGGCGTATCGGTCGGCCTGGTCGTAGTCCTTCTCCTGGAACAGGTGGAAGATCAGACATCAACTGTGCTGAAGTGTCCTTGAGCACTTAAGTAATATTTATTCTAATTCAGGGTTTTAAGCTTCGAAAATGAAAATCCAACCCCACTTTTAAATTCACCAATGAGAGGATCTTACCAGGAAATAGAGGAAAGAGAGGTTGGTGGCTGCAGCACTCTTCACTCTGCTGTCCTTCTTCTCAAATGTCTTCAGAGTCTCCACCGCCTGATCAACACACGATAAAAAGCTGTAAAAGCTGGACAGTAATACTGTAAAGTTCAGTACGAGCTTGACTTCCACAGTATGTAAAACACCTACAAACATCAAACATCAAACCATGACGTGAACCGAAGCTTCTCGTGTTTAGTGTGAGTTTAGCTGAGCTGGCATACCTTTAATAAATACTCTTTATTTTAGTAAATAACATATTGTGTCATGTATATTTTAAAAACGACAGTATATAAAGCAGACCAAAGAAACACCATAAACCATGAAGTGAATCACAATCTAAAGAGATACATATCGGCTTTGTAAAATAAAACTCCTCACATTTGATTGGTGGTTATGTCACTGTACATGCATTATATACTGGGGAGATTATCCCACAACAATAAGTCTTTAAAACCACCAGCTGCACTACAGCTGCACCACGACCACCGTCTATGAAGAGCATCAAAGCACCACACACATGCATCAGACGTATATATGGAGCTGCAAAGTGTTCACTATCAATTAAATAAACTCATAGTTATGACACATAGACACAAATATACAAAACAATAATAATTTGTGAATTGACTAACTCTTTATAGTAAAACGTTATTTCGTCCTTTGTCACTTTCTATTTTTTTATAATATCACTTCTCAAGAGCAGCTGTTGCACGGAGTTTGTGAACGGCTGAAAGTTAGCTTTACTAAAATACAAAGGGAACCTAACGTTAAACATCTAGATGCTGTCAATCACTCCACATGGCACCCATCAATGTGTTTTGTCTCATTAGACGTTATACTTATAACACACGTTTCTCAGGACTTGCTCACACGACATAAGTTATTAATAAATACTCATCTTTGTAGACAGACTTCTGATATTTTGCCCCATTTGTCTGAAATCATTTACAGAGTAGACTGAAACACACCGACAGAGGAAGTAAAAAGATCAGCTAGAGGTTCAGCTGATTGTGACTGTTTTAGTTTTTAATTTCCTTTTTAATTATTATTTTTTCCTGTTTACTCAGGTCTCACTTGTAAATGAGGGATCGAGCTCAATGTGACTTCCTGATTAATTAATTAAATTTTATTTATATATATATATATATATATATATATATTTTAATGATAGCACAGTGACAATGGTGATGTAAAATGATATGATTAAAATGTGTAATTATGAAATTAAACATGAAATGTGTTGATTAAATAAAACCAGACAGAAAAAGGGGCATTTTTAAATAAAGTACTAATTAAAATAATATTCAGTTATTATTAAGATTAATGATGAAATTAAATTTCAGAATAATATAGTTTAGTTTTAATAATTTCTTCAATTATTTCACAAATTGCTGGTTAATTTATATATTTTACACAACTTATTGATATGATTATTTATTTTATAATTTCTTTTGTATTTACTTAATAATAATAATAATAATAATAATAATAATAATAATAATAATAATAATAATTCCACAGACGTTGGCTGCTGCAGTTTTAACCAAAGTTGCTCTTGTTAAAGAAGGAACCGTTATATTAAATATTTGCTCTCTGCACACAGATTCTCCCTCCTGGTTTGTGGGTTTTCAAACCATTAACTGCTTCTCCAACTTCTCTCGGCAGAGCCGTTATTTGGAAAAAAGCAAAGGGAGTGAGGGAGGAAAAAAGAACCAAACAATCTAAACGTGAACACATAAACAGAAGGCACACATACCTCAACCTTAGGCATGCAGATGGGAAGGAAACGAGACAAAAGCAGGAGAGAACGGAGGGCAATGAGAACGAGAGTGATGCTGCACACTCATGAAACAGCATCAGATGTAAACAAAGACAAACGTGAACCACGCTGGTCAATAACCGCACGGTAACACAATGGTGAGGAAATAAAAAGATGGACAAAAATTAAACAAAGACCAGATCATCCATATTTTAGGTCTGTAAAAACTTTCTTTCTCCTTCATTTCAAATATAAAATGTTTTCCAGTTTTTATTCATCTGTTGACATTTATTAATTATACTTAAAATGTAGGTGTAAAATGCATGCTTTCTTCCACCACTTATATTTATTTTAACCTTCCTGTAAAAGGAAGGTTTTCTGTTTGCATTTCTTTTTAAATGTACAGCACTTTGAGGTACATAGTCTGTATGAAATGTGCTACTTCTTTCCAGGTTCAGATTCATAACAACACGTTTCTGCTTCGGTCTCTTATGTAACTGACTTACACTTTTGTAATATCATCATTTATAACGGCTGTTTTACATTTTAAGCATTCACGTTACATAATTGTGTTGAACTTCTGGCTTTACAACTCCATTCTCAAATATCAAATCTATAACAAGGTGGCAAATATTTGAGCGATACCGCGGCAAGAACCACAGACTAAAGGAGCGAGATTATTAATAATAATAATAATAATAATAATAATAATAATAACAAATTGAGTGGTATGGCCCTTTAATTCCGCTGAGACTCACCTGGTTGAAGTCCTTCTGTCTGAGGTAGGTGATGGCTTTGTTTATCTCCAGATCGTTGGCGAGCTCGACATACTGAGAGCTCTTCACCATGTCCACACACCTAAAACAAACACCAACACATGAACCGTGCAACATTTAATGTATCACGTGTAAAAACATGTAATTATTAACTCTATCTCAATGTGACCAATAAACCAGCTGCGTGGTAGCTTTAAATATTGTAGAGACATGTTCGTATGGGGCTGATGAGTTTATCTGATTATCTTTGACAAGTGACACAATATCACATTTTCGCCTCATATTTGTAGATCGTCATGGCCAAAAGAAATCGCGATACAAAATGTATAAGTTAGTCAGTGAAATAAATGAATCTTTAACATTGTTTATTGTGCGTTTTTGTTTTTGACTTTACAGGAAAATCTGAGATCTGATAAAGGGAATGAAGGGAAAACACTTGAAGACATCCAATGACACTCCGTCCTTCTGAAACATGCAGTTCAGCAGAAAGACGCTCTCTAATCAGACCCACGTATCAGTTAGCAGCTTGAACATCATGTTTTTGAGCTTCTGTCAGGGAGCCGGAGTCCTGCTGTACGTTACATACCCTCTGGTGTTAAGATGCGATATGAAAAACAAAACAAACCAGTCGAATCCGGTGGCAAAAGAAGTCTCAATGGCCGGAGCGATGAGCTTGGCCGCCGTCATGATGTACTTCTCAGTCAGGACTTTTCTGTGTAGAGTACACGGAGAGAAAACAACAACATCAGGCTGAGAAGGACGAGGCACAGATCATGTTCCGAGTGTTTTGTGTGACGTTTTTCTTACAGATCTCTCTCCATCGTGTGAAGTTTGTCGTTCTTGATGGCCTCGATGACCAAACCTGAGTCTGTGTCATCCTGAGAGACGAGACAGGACGAGATTTACATTAAGATGGTTCTTACAGGAGCCACGTTCAACAATCCTCAACGCTTTCCTTTGAATATTAGTATTCTGGTTCAGGACTCAGTTGTGAAGAGTAATTTTGTAAATTGACCGAACTGATTTGGTTATTCTTGGTGAGGTCCGAGGAGACAGATCATCAGTCATCTTGTTCAGCTAATAATCAGCAGCATTTTCAGCCACGTTGAAGGCTTCTTATTTTATCTTTATATACCACTCTAAATATTGTTCTGTGATTTTAGGAATATTGAATTAACTGACTATTACTAGCAGCCAGACAAAAAGCTATTGTGAGACGCTTATGACGTAATCACCCTACAAAGACAAACTAAATTAAGTATTAATAATAATAAACTTTACTTCTATAGCACCTTTTAAAACACCGTTACAAAGTGCTTTACAGTAAAACAGAACACGTTCTAAACACAAAGAGAATAAAAAGTAAACACATAAAAACAGAAAGTAAAATCGGATTAAATAAGTTGGTCTTTTTTTATTAAATCAACTTTCTTTAATGAATATAACTCGTCAGCTGCCTTTGGCAGCGAGCGGGAGAGCAAACTGTTTTTAAAAAGTTAAACGCCAACAAATAAAGATCAAAGCAGAATGTTTAGTTGGATAAAAAGATGTTGTGAATTTTGGAAATGATTGAATTTATCTTTTGGACTTCACAATGCTCTCTCTGGAGTTAATGGAAATGTTTGGATCACACCACTGGATTAATTCTAAAAAAACAGTATCATTTTAATAATATTAGCTGCAAACACAATAAATGCAAAAAGAAGAAAAGCGTCAAACGATTGATTTAGAACTTGAATGTCATCGTTATGGATGAAGCTTCGAACTATTGGGTTCAGCCCCACGAAGAGAGAAAAAGGAAGACGAACTGTTCCATAAATGTTTCATAAGTTTACATAAATAAACGTCACTGTACTCACATTAGATGGGATGTACTTGTCCTCGTCGTCGATGCCCAGAGGAGCTGAGATGAGCTTCTGAAAGGCCTTCTTCATCCTCTCCCGGTCACCGATGGCGTAGTAGCACAGGATGAGGTTGAAGCCCGTCTTGATGTTGGGGCTCTCGCTCATGATGTGCTCGAAGGACGTTATGGCGTCCGAGTACTGGCCCATGCGGACGAAGACCACGCCGATGTTCTGCATGATCTTGATCCTCATTTCCTTGTGCGCGTTGGAGATCTGATCCAGGGCCATTCGGTAGAACTTGATGGCCTTCGGGTAGCTCTTCTGTTTGACGTAGATGTTGGCCATGTTGACTTTCAAGCGGCCTGGTGGAGCAGCACAGACGTAGTTTGAGGGAAAACCACAGCAATGGAACAACTGATACAACAGATAATGTGACGGAAGTGACATTATTTGAGTACAATACGTGAAATATGAAATCACAGGATTTTCTGTCCTGCCTTCATAATTCAGTGGATTCATGATGGCAGCCATAGGTTAAAGACATCTGCTCACCTGCGTTACTGAACATCTTGTTCTTCACGATGACCTGGTAGCTGTTTAGGGCCTCTGGGGACATTTCATTGTTCGCATACTGGTTGGCAAGATTCAGCAGAACCTGGTGACGACAGACACGTTCAACACTTCTAAATCAAATCATAATAAAACTTACTGTATTAAACTGTAAGAGCATTTCTCTAGCACCACCAAATTTGAATGCAGAAAGATTAAACCTTTAAGTAACTGATAAAAACCAGGCTTAACGAGTGGATATTCCAAAGAGTGAAGAGTGAAGGAAGTTTACATTCCTTTTATCTACAGACACTGGAACAACTTGTGATATATGTTAAAATGATAACTGTAATTACTTACAGAGTAGGTGAGGTCTAGATTGATGTGGTCTGCATTGCCGGACTGCTCCCTCTGTCTCACCAGGGTTCTCTCCTTCCTCCCGGCCTCTTTGGCTTTGTCCAGAGCCTGCAGAAACACACCAGTGAGAGAACATTTACAGCAGAGACACACATCTTAAAGAAGGTATTTGAATGCTTTGGTTAGAACGGGTTTCTGCTGCACTTCAAGATGAATTACAAACCCTACATGTTGTCTAATTCAGTGTACAGGCAACTAAAGGCAAGTGAGCCAGAAGCTTTATTACAGTGATGACTTTGGTAGAAAATGTAAGATTTAGACTGAAGAGCACACAGAAAAATGAATCACTGCCACACTCGGAGGCCCTTCTCTCCAAATCCAAACAGACATTTCTTCTACCAAACAGGATGTTAAAGATTGACAGAGTCTGACCAGTTGTAAAGCTCCAACGCTCTGGGCCATGCAGCTCTGTTCTATCAGGTCGTTCACTTTCTTCTCCAGGATCTTGATCTTCTCCTCGGGCCTGCAGGACCACAGAAACAATAAACAATGAGCCATAGCGTCAGAGGCTTCCTCCACCGGCTCATTAGAGACCGTTCACTTTTATCTGAAGAGCGGCTGAAGCATTTTACTCTCTCAGACTTAAATGTACACTGGAGAGAATAAAAACGTGTTCCAATACATATTAGAATACCAGTTTGATTTATTAGCTAGTAGTAGTCAAAAATATAATATGTTACCCATGAATAAATTATTTTTAGTTCCATTGCGAGACGTGTTTCCTTGTAATATGAATTGCTTCTTTGTATGTAACAATTATATACTTTATTCTGACTGTATATGCATCTTTAGATCAAACACCTAATCTTAAATGATGCAGATATAATCTTAAACAAAACACTGAAACAGTTTAAGATGGTTTAAATGTAAACTAATAACCTACCTATTCAGCCAGGCATTGATCAAGAATGCTTTAATGACATTTTTTAGACATTATAGACATTTTATAATTGTATTTTATCTATTTTTAGACTTATTTAATTGTATTTAAGTTGAAAATTGTGATTCTAATTTTATTAAACTAGATTTTGTTACACGCAGTTTTAGTACCATTACTGTTATAGCTTTTAATGTTATTTTATTACATTTGTACCATGTTGTGTATTGGTCTCAAATTGTTAAATTTTAATATTGCTTTATTGCTTTTTGTCTTCTGTTGTTTTGACTCGTTCTGTCTTATTTTCAGCTTGACAGTCATCTGAGGAGAACTTTGAACCGCACTAACATGTATGAAAGGTGCTGTAATAAATAACGTTTGATCTCACGTGTCCTCGTTCTTTGCTTCAAGTGGAGGCGCCGGGCCTCTGGACTGACCCAGAGGGTCAAAGGTGGAGCCTGTAAATACATACCATACTTTATTGTTTGCATAGTTACACTCCTAGAGATAAACATAGAGGCTCAGGCTAATACAAACTGCAAAACGTCCTTGAGTTTATGAAGATTAGAAACAAAAGATTAACTTCCACAATGTAGACACAGTCTAAACATAACATAACATAACTCACCTCTGGTCAGGGAGGTGTAACCTGCTGCTCTGACGGAAGTCATCGGCCGGGCTGCTCCATCCTGTCATATTTTAAAAATAGCAAATGTTGTTGAAAATATATCATGATTTTTTTCCTAATTTGCTTAATTTTTCACAATTTTCTTCCCAAAAACAAAGCGATTGATAATGTTTGGCAGGTTCTTATTGAGCTTTGATTAAATGCATGTGCTCATAAAACCTACAATGAACCCGATATTGATCTAAAATCACTCCACATGAAGCACTGAGTAAGTGAGATCTGTCAACTAACGCTAAATAACCATGCGGGTCCATCGATCCTGCTCACCTGCACAGCTCCAGTCATGGGTCGGCCCATTGAAGAGGCCAAAGGGATCCGAGCCTTCATGAAACAAAAGGTATGAGACAGGTGAAATAATATAGGCACGTTTACCTGAAAATATAATTTATATATATTGTGAATTATTCCGTGTCATATTGTACTTACGCCAAAGGAAGTCGCTAGAGGCCGAGCTCCGATGGCAGTGCCAGGAAATTTGGCAGTCATCTGGATAATTAAAGACATGACATCTTATCATTAATATTAACTAATTAGTGCAATTAGGATGTACTTTATCCTCCTGTCTGTCTGTCTCTGTCTCTCTCTCCCTGTATCTGTATGTCTCTCTCTCAATCACTCACACACTTTTACAAACAAAAGTACCTCAAAATTAGTCTTAAGTACAGTACTTTAAAAAAAAAGTAGCAATATCAGAGTGTAGAAATACACAGTTACAAGTAAATTCCTGCATTACCAAAGTAAAAGTACAAAAGTAATATTAAAATATAAAATGAAAAGTTCTGAAAGTAAAAGCACTCAATATGCAGAATGGCTCATTTCAGAATCACACATATTGTTTATTACATCACTGTATTATAATCTTCAAAGCATTCATGTGTTCATCACTTTATTGTTGCAGCTGAGCTATTAAAGGTGGGGCTCGTCTTAAATCTTACTGATGGGTAGCTAGCTTAATGTGTAGTAATATATCATCGTGTATCAGTTGATTTTGCAGTCATAATCTGAATCTAAAACGTAACTAGTGACACTATAGCAGATACTCACCGGAGGTCTTCTTCCATGACTCGTCCTCACTGCCTGCTGGAAGCCCACATCATTCTCCAACTCCTGGAAATGTGTCAGTAATTAGTAATAATAATAATACACTTTATTCCTATAGTACTTGTCAAAACAAAGGTACAAGGTGCTTTACAACACAAAATAAAAATGGTAGCCAAACAATTAAAGCCAGTCTAATAGCAAACATTGAGCAAAAGGATCTACATATGAGAAATAGTAATATATAAATATAAAAAGGTTTTAAGAAGTGACATTAAAGATACAACTTTAATTTAAGCCACAAACCATGTGAAAGCTAATAAAAGTATGTTTTTAAGAAGGATTCAAAAGAGCATAAGCAGCCAGTCTGACCTCCTCAGATAGACAGACAGACAGAGAGACAGACAGAGAGACAGACAGAGAGACAGACAGACAGACAGCGAGACAGACAGACAGACAGAGAGACAGACAGACAGACAGAGAGACAGACAGACAGACAG